GAGATAAGAATTTAAAGCTATTGTTCAAATGGGCTAAAACGGTAAAATAATGGGCTACACGTACGGGCCCATAATGAGTTCTTTTGTCTAACATTTCTGGGAGTCATTGAACAGTAAGGCAACTGCCACTCTGGAAGAAAGCTCTTCTGACCTCACGCTAGGAAGGAGTGGCTGGCTAGGCTCAATTTGTTATATATTAGCCTGGTTCCACTTTGTCAGTATGGGTTGGGGTCGTTCAGGCCCTAAAGCATCGATCTATGGATTTTTTTAAAGTTATCTATCTATATATATTTGGTGCAAACATGCTAGAATGCTAGATCTTATCACAGGGTTGCTACGCCACTCTAAGTTTTATTAAGGATTTGTTCAGTCAAACTTATACTAATTGGACTCAAGTTCATTTCTTCTTAGTCAGCATGAGATGTGTGCTTCATGTCAAATTTATGTTTGGCTTGGTAGGGATTTTTACAAATCCCAATGATTCTCATGTAATCACAGATGCTTGAAAGACAGTTATGACATACATTTGATTTCCTATTTATTCTTTTGTCATGAATTCAGTCTAATTTTCCACCTGATTACTTGCTTCAAACATTCACAAACATAATGGATATGTAGATATTGGACACGACCCGTACTTTTGTGCTCATTTTTTCCCTTAAATCCTCTTCTTTTTCTCCTTTCGCCCTTTTTTTCTTTCCTAAGCTTCTTTCTTTCCTTCTCATCATTCTTTTGTTCTCTATTTTCCTTTTTCTCTCTCTTCTTTATTGTTGCTTCCCCATATCTTTTACCTTATTTTCATAAATGAAACACAATGGTTAGGTAACACCCTAAGTAGTATTCTAGCATATTTCTAGATGAAACCATTGTAAAATTAGATGCATAAAAGGAAACTATCAGGAATCCTAAAACTTGCAAGAGCATACCATGCTCTGATACCAGATGATGCAGGACTACATGTGAATGCGATCAATTTATTAGGAATTTGCACAATTCTTAATTGGAATAAAATAAAAGAAAACTAGTAGCAGCTCAAACAATAAAATAAAATGAATAAGGGGTCACGCCCGCTTAGGCTAAATCAAATAACCAGATGTTTGAAACTTTCAAAATAGAATAGAAAATCACATGATGTCAAATAGTAGTTTCAATACAAATCACATTCATTTCTAATATATTGCAGCAAATAATACAAAATTGAGCTTAATTAAAAAGATGTTAAAATGTCATAACGGTGGAAATAAGAAAAAGCATTCATACTTAAAAAGGAAAGAATTTACCTCAAAGAATAAAGATTCAATTTATGTTCTAAACTTTCGAAGTTCTTCAATTGTTGTCAAACTAAAAAAATTTAGAAATAAAATTTATGAAGATACAAAAATCTACAATGCATAAATGAAGAAATTGCTCAAGTGTGAGGTTCTCAAATATGAATTTTCTTCTCGTCAAGATATTTTGCTTTTTTATTTTAGAAAGAAATTTTATCATAAAAAACTTAAGTCTGAATGGATTGGGCCATTTATTGTTACTAAAATATATTCATACGGGGCGGTAAAATTTTAGGATAAAAAATAGTTTATATTTTCAAGATTAATGGTCATAGATTGAAACCTTATGGATGATGATAATGAGGAAAAGAAAGATCATAATTCTTCTCATTAGGAGACTTTGAATTTTGTGGATAGAGAGAGAGAGTGATGAGAGTGTTTTGTTAGTTTTTTATTACTTGGTTTGTAGCTTGTTTTTCTTTTATTAGTTTTTTTATTTCTTTTGCTTTGGGGGAGATCCCGGTGTTGTGATGAATTATTATGGTTGCGATATAATGATGGTCATGAGAGTCAGAGTCATCTTGGATGTGATAATAGAGTGGTGTCTTAAGTACTAGTTTATCTTATTGTTAGTGTATCACATATTATGTGTTTTTTTATAATTTATTTAAGAAGCATATGCTATTAACTATAATTATCATGTATTTGTATTTACATTTGATTTTATTCTCCTTATACTTTAAACTTTTTACAGTAGGATGTGTTGCTATATGAAGGTCAAGTATCAATACGCAAAACAAATAAGGAGGAAAGGGAACACAATGATGGCTAGGTGTATGGAAGAACTTGCAATGCACCTACTAGTATACACCTGGATCTCGGGCCATTCCTCATATAAAAAAGAAAAAAATAGTTATCATTTTCTTTGTAAATGCGCCAAACGATTTTGTAGCATTGTATTTTATTTCATCAACTAGAAGTAGCTTTATATTTTATTTCATTAGCTCATATGTATCAATGTATTTTGGATAAGTATTTCAGATTATTTATTATTTATATATTATAATTTTTTGGACACATTCAATGTAATATTGAAAGTTGAAATAAAAAAACAAAAGATTTATCATAACTACTCATAAGACACAATAACATACCATAATAAAATGCATTAACACACTACATATTAAATTTAACAAGCATTGTGAAGAAAATATAACATAAGCAAACATATAAACAAATACATAGGTTTACTTTTTCCTAAGTAGCATATGCAGACGTGCTTGGAGTTGGGATTGAGTTGGGTAGCACTTAAATTCAAACTCAAAATCATATTGAAGGTGTTGCCAGCCTTTAGCATTCAAAAACTTTCTTGGCTTGCCTTCAAATAATAACTCCTTCATTTGGTTATTATAGAAATCCAAAATAAAATCGTCCAAGCCAGAATATCAATGATGATATAAAATAATATGTTCAACGTCTAGGTTGTTGCACTCAAAATCTGGGGAATGGCAACATTCTTTCTTATGTCGTGTCTCATGATATTACATCTACAAGAAATGAAGACTAACGAGATGACCATCAACTTCCAAGAACCTCATTTTAAGATATTTTCAACCAGTGGTATTTAGAAAATCTCTCGTCTTATAGAGTCTTATCTTTATTGCCTCAGTATGTACATTCCAAAGTACACTATTCTCATCTTTTTATCATTCATGGGTGGAACACTTAAAAATCTCATTCGCATTCATCTTTTACTCCAACAGACTATCACCGACCTGTGTTATACAAGCAAGCATTTTTATGCTTGCATCAACAAACCTTTCTTTATTGGGGATGCCTCGAATCCTCTCTATACATGAACAATACATTTTGAAACTAGCAACTAAAATGTTCACAACTCAACTTCATATATATATATATATATAGACCCTCGTGGAACTTCAACCCGACCACCTACCGTCACCTTACTTCAAAATTGATAACAATTATAAAATATTAAAATATTATGAATAAATTTAGGGATTTTTACATACCTAACACTTAAAACAAGTCTATTTACATACCTAACACCTAAACTTTCCTATTTACATATACACCACTTAAAAAGCTTATCCCTCATCAAAACTAGCACTCCGTTCCACTCTCGTCAAAAGAAACCGCGACAGTCTTCTCGCTCGATCTTCTCACAACGCTTTTACCTCCTCTTCCTCTCGATCGATCGGCTCGTCAATCCGTTTCGACAGGTTTGATGTTTTTCATTTTGCTATTCCGTTTTGGTGTATTAACCCTAAACGCCTTTACCTCCTCTTCCTCTCGCTAGATCGGCTCGTCAATCTGTTCCGGCAGGTATGCTTTTCTCCATCTTGCTATGTCGTTTTGGTGTTCGAACAGCTTCTTTCGCTCGTTATTACTCCTTGAAGCTTGGTTTTTCGCCGAATCTTTTGTTCAAGCCCGAACTTGTTCAAGCTTTGTTCTGTCGCCGAATATTTTTTCAAACCCTAAACTTCGTATGGCTTCGATTTCCTGCTTTAATCTTCTCCAGAGATGCTTTAGTTCAGTTCAATTTCTGATATTCTTTAGTTTCTTGCGAATTTTTATGTTGACTTGCAGCATTTTAGGTTGATTTTCTGAGATGCTTTAGATCGATTATTTTACCAACAGCTATACATTGAACTGAAGGTTGTTTGATTAAATTCATTTCAGTTGATTTCCTGACATGCTTTAGTTGATTTCATTTCCTGAAAATAATTAAATCAACCTGAAATTTTTTTTTCTGTTACTTTTATTTGTGTGATTCTTTTATGTATTAGCTTGTATGATTTCAGTAAATTTGGCAGCGATATGAGTTCAAGCCGGTCAACACAATCCATGAGAAGCCAAGACAATCCAATCTATTGTCGTTGCAATATGCAATGTCAAATATATACGTGCTACAAAGCTAATAATCGTGGCAGGAAGTTCTATCGATGTCCCCGGAATAGATCGGAAGATGATTGTCGCTATTTTCGATGGATTGACGAAGAGAATTCTGAAGTAGAAGATGTCAATCGCTTTAGGAGCGCAAAAGCATCAGACTTTCACTTGAAACATGCGGGCACAATGATATCAGAGTTAATTCAAATTAAATTCTTATTGGTTATCATAATTTTACTGGTTGGTGTTGCCATCCATTCTATGTTGAAGCCTTGTAATTGTAAGTGATCCGTGTACTAGTTCTGTTTGATCAATGTACCAACTTGTGATGAATGTAAAAACGTTTTATGTACTAGTTGTGTTTGCCATCCATGTACCAACTTGTGATGAATGTAAAAACGTTTGAATGCAAAAAAATTATGTACAAGTTCTGTTTGCCATCCATTCTATTGTCAGGTGGGCTCCGTGTACAAGATCTTTTTGATCCATTTAACAAGTTGTGTATGAATGTAAAAACGTTTTATGTACAAGTTCTGTTTTATGTAAAAACGTTTTATGTACAAGTTACTTTAAAGTGACAGCTGTTGGCAAAAATTATAACAAAAACTGACAAGAATACATTGATAGCAAAAATTTGTTAGCAAGAATATCATAGCAAAAAGCTGTTTGGCTACAATTCGATAGCTGTTTGGAGCAGTGACTTGAAAGTCATAACAAAAAATGATCACTACAAAGTAACTTGAAAGTGATAGCAAAAACTGTTTACAGAAACAGGTAAATGAGTTTGTTCAAAGTGACAGTTAACAGAAACTGTTGTTCTCAGAAACTTTCTCCACGCCTAATAGGCATTTTCTCAGAAACTGTGTCTTGAATATTGCCTTCCTCAAAATGTAAAGGTTCCTTGCATGTGTTTCTATGGTGACCCCATGAATTGCAGCGGCCACATTTATGAATACTTTTTGTTTTCTGACCACCTTCTAAGAAGTTCTTAATTCGTCTTTTCTTGGGTCTACCACGTGGCCTGAGTGAAACTGGTGGGAAAACAAACTGGTTATCACTTATTATGGACCATTGCTCTTTTCCTGGCAAAGTTGAAATGGCTCCTTCATAAGCCATTCTATATCTGCACACAAATTTTTTGTTTAGATAACAACTATTAACAAATGTTGACAAAGCATTTAATTAAGAAAGAATATGAACCTGTAATTGTAATACTTCTCATCGACATATGTGTGCCACAAATTGTTATTTTTGGTTCCAACAAATGCTGCAACGTGTACACATGGTAACCCTGATATCTGCCAAAAACCACATGTGCATGTATGGCTCTCTATGTCAACCTCTTGTCGCTCAGAAACCCCTTCAACCTCAGCCTTTGTTGTAGTTGACTGTCGTATGATGAAAACTTCTTTTTTTGTTGTAACTTCTCTAATGTATTCCTCTACACACGGAACTAGAGGTTTGTTCCATGAAACTGAATTTGACTTCCGATGAGAACGTTGTTCCATCAACATACCTCTAATCGTGTCGATTAGATCTACAACGGGCTTGCTCCTTGCATCCTCAACCCAAGCATTGAAAGATTCTGCCATATTATTTGTGTTGTAGTGATTTTTAATATGAATTGAAAAAGTTGCCTTTGACCACTTACAAGTTAAAGATGTTAGGTATGAATGAACTTGTGGACTAATGTTAAATATTTGTTGTAGCTTAGAATTGAACTCATGTAGGCTGAAACAGTTAGCGGCGGTCCACACCACTTTTTGCAAATTGTGGCTATCATCACAGCGAAAAAGTTTCTTAATATTTTTCCATAGGTGTCTCATACAAACTCTATGCTCCGCATTAGGAAAGACGGTTTTAATTGCTTCACCAAGCCCTTTCTCCATATCCGATATGAATGCTAGATGTTCTATGTCAGCATTAAAGGCATGAACCAAATTCACTAAAAACCACTCCCAACTTCTCTTTGATTCAGATTCAGCAACAGCGAATGCAATATTAAAGAGACCGTTGTTCCCATCCAAACAATTAGCGGAAAGGAGCACACCTAAATATTTTGATTTCAAATGACAAGCATCAATCCCTATCAAATATCTGCAACCGGCAAAGAAACCATCAATGCAGACCTTGAAACTAACAAAAAACCTCTTAAATGAGTTATTTTGTTTGTCACATTGATACGCTATATGTGAGCCAGGATTCCTGTTGAGTAACTCAAACTGCAATGTGGGCACCCACTTGTAGTTATCATCAATAGAACCAAAAATTTGATTTCTTGCTAATTCCCTTGAACGCCAAATTTTCATGTATGGTAAAGATACCCCAAAAGTGGTCTCTAAGTTATTACCAATATCCTTTGGTGTAATATCAGGATTCCTTTTCACGATGTCCTTGATTTCATGGGCAATCCAGGCCGAGGTAGCTTGTTTGTTCCCTGCTCTATTAACTCCAGGGCATAAATGTATTGCATGTAATTTTTTAACTTCAAATGAATGTCCATCTGAACATAACGACGCACGTATCCTCCATGGACAACCACGATAGGTGCATGTAGCAATAACTCTTGATTTGTCACTTGCCTTAATCTTGATAGCAAAGTTTTGTAATATTGCATTAGAGCGAATAGCTTGTTTGAAGCTTGATGAGTCCTCAAAACGTGAACCAATACATAAATCTTTTTTTTCCTCAACTTCAACTGCAAATGAACCATCACACAAACCATCTACTAATATATCATTGTTCAATGTGTACTTAGCACTTAAATCTTGCATATCACCATATTGAGTTTCATCCGTATAAGTCATATCTTCTTGATGATCTTTCACTACAACCACCACCTCCGCTCTATTGCCATCACGGGAACCTATAAAAATGTTTGTCACATCTGTATCGCTCATAATTGGCATATAAATCTTAGGCGACGTTCCATTAATATGATAATGTAGGTCATAGGCATGACCCCTGATCCATTGGCAAATTGCTTCGGTACGTTCTTTCAATAATAATAAATTAATGTGACATCTATCAAATTTCAAAGTTTTCTGACTACCACCGACATATTTCATCCTGCTTTGGCCCTTCACCTCAGTCCAATATCCTCCATATTTCAAGACAATAAAGCACACATTGTTGCACTCCATATCTGTAGGTAAAGAAAAAATTACATCAATCAGGAATAGCTTAATGTATAACTACTTAATGTATATAAACTACATTACACAATCAAATGAATACCTCCAAGCTTACTGAAATGAACTGCGGTAGATAACTCACTAGCTAACAACCTCCTTGCCTTGCCTTCAAAGCTTCCGTTATTACTCCTTCAAGTTAGCTTCTGTTATTACTCCTTCGGAATCGCAAAATAAACAAGGAGTTTTTCTGTTACATCTTCTCATCCTCCGCAAGTAAAATAGAGAAGGAAAGGAAAATACCTAATGCGATCGCCTGTGTCACCACTAGCAAAAAATGCCGCTGTTTAGTAGGATTCGCAAAAGGAGCATAGAATCTGCACGAGATTCGCGAACTGCGTGATTCAAACCGAGAGAGGAAGGTGCTCTGCACGAGATTCGCGAACAGGGCTTCCCGCGCAGTTTCGCGGTTTCCTTTGACGGGAGTGGAACGGAGTGCTAGTTTTGATGAGGGATAAGCTTTTTAAGTGGTGTATATGTAAATAGGAAAGTTTAGGTGTTAGGTATGTAAATAGACTTGTTTTAAGTGTTAGGTATGTAAAAATCCCTTTTTTTTATATATTTAGGTCATTAAGGTTAAATAGGAGTGTCAATATTTGACAAGACTCGAAAATTCAACTTGAACCCGACCCGAAAAGAGGAGATAGACTCGTTTCAACACGAAATGGGTCGGATTCGAGTTCAACATTTCGACCCATTTCAAAAATCGGGTCGGAGTCGGATTAACACTTTGACCCGATTTTGACCTGGCAACCCGAGATAGACCAGTTTTTTATCCGAAAAAGAGGAGATAGACTCGTTTTTGACTCGAAAACTAGCAATTTTTTGTTGGAAATGGGTCATTCGAGTCGTATCGGGTTGACCCATACCCGAAGCGGGTCGGGTTCGGGTCAGGAAAACTGGCCCGTTTTCAATAACGGGTCGGGTTCAGGTTGACCCGAATAGTGCCGAGTCAATTTCGGGTTCGACCCGAACCCAACCCGTTATGACGCCCCATACATCCATAGTGAAAGGATTTGTCTGACATTCTGATCGAACTCCATTCCAGTTGCCTTGCTCGGACCTGAAATTGTTAACCACATATAATGAGTTTCAAAAAGCCCAACAGGTCTCCAAAGCCTACAACTGAAATCAAAGCACGGTACTGGAAACAATATGCATGTTAGTCAATCAAATCCATAACAGTCTATTACACATGATCAATGAATCTATGCAGCGGATACGAAAATCAAATCAGTAGTCAATGCAGCGGTAGAAGAATCAATAAACAGTAGGAAATCAATCGATCAGTCAAATCAATCGTATCAATCAAAACAATACTATCTGGTCGATCGGTATGAAATCATCAAATCAATACAATAAAGCCCAGTCTATACTAGCAATGAATCCAATGCAGCAGTTCAATACAGTGTAGAAACAATAGTATCAATCAATATCAATGAATCCATATCCATACAATATCTATAACAGTAGCAATGCGCAGGGACAGAATATAAATATCAATGAAATCGTACGATAACAGTAAATCCGTCAGTAAAACCAAATCAAGAAAGCAATAAATCCATCACGAGTCAATGCCGTACACATGCATTTCAATACAATAGTCTTACTGAACTAGTACATCGCTGGCTATTAAGGCGTTTTTCAAGTCGATAATCCATAGTGCTGTTGTAGAAATCCATAGTGCTGTTGTAGATATCTATCCGTTGGTTCAATAAGAGTCGTCACTCTATGCCCGTCGGCTGCCCGTCGGCATAGTAATCTCCTTATGACTCCCAATCGTTATATCAATAATCAATAGAGGATAACACCAAACCCTTTTTAAAGGAAAGCCTGTCGACCCACCATCCTGTAAAGGTCAAGTCGATCTCCAACCAACGGTTCAACCAGTCTTCACTTGTCTTTCAGTAACAATAATCAAATAGTCACATTCATATGCATATCAATCCAAATCATCAATTTAAAAAAATCGGAAATCGTACGAAAATCCAGCGGCATAACGGCAGTATAAGAAATTTACACAAAATTCACCAAATCAGAATTTTACCAAATTACCACAGAACATTCACAACAACATTATAAGACTTCTATTCTACTGAAGCAACATCAATCAACATCCTGATATTTATCTATTCGATTAAAATCGCACAGAACCAAAAATAACCGGTAGAATCGTTATAGAAAATACTCAAAATGTGTAGAAAAATCATATCAATAACATATCAAAAGTTGTGCGGTGAAAGTTTCGTCAATACAATATGCGGCGCATTTTTCGGTAACAAAAACACAAATCTGTGCACAAAACGACCAAAACTCGACATCTTCAAAAACAGAAATAGGATTGGAGTCCTTACCACGAGATAAACACTTTTCCCAACAGCGGCGTCGGACGAAAAGTGCTCCGTGGCCTCCGGAAACCAGCTTTTCCTTTGCTTTCCTTCTTCTTCTCTCTCCTCAGATATTTTGTTTTATAAAAAAATGATTTTCTCTCTCCTCAAATCGAGCTGATTTCCTTATAAAACAAAGCTGATCGGCCTGGCCGATCGCCACATCGTCCAGGACGATGTGAACAAAATCCAATCATCCAGGACGATATCTCAGGACGATAATTAATTTCTCGGACGATTTGCTCTCTGACTTGTGCCATGCTCTGATCGTCCCAGGACGATCCAAAATCGGCCCAGACGATCGTTCTCCAGAAAATCAGTTATATTCACTGCACTGATCGTCCTGGACGATCTCAATCCTGGACGATCTCAATATCGTCCTGGACGATCCCGGGAGGAAAATCAGATCCAGAAAGGAAAAATCAAAGGAACGAGCTCTCACACCCGTGACCCGAAATTGACACCCCTAAGGTCAAATTTATTTATATATCGAATAAGTACTTTAAACCCAAACTTCTTAGTTGAAAACCAAAAAGATTAACTAGTAGATCAAAGTGAGTAGAGTAAAAACACTATTCTCACATAATAAAAAACAATAAGTTTTTATCCTATCGAATAGGGTCGAGAAGCGAAGTCACGGTGGGGGACTTGGGGGCATAGACCTCCACTGACCCAACAAAGTTTACTTACCTAGCTAAATAAAATAAGTTCTAATGGGAGTTCTACTTATTTGAGCTTAATGTTTTATAAATTCTAACCCTAGTGTATATACACGAGAGCTATCTTCCACGGTTTACCAATAGCATCCCGCGTCATGCCCCAAGATCTAAAGTGAAAGAATTTTTTTTCATTGATTTATTTTTTTCATATTTCTCAATAGCAAACAGTAGTTATTTATAACTAGATCAATTTGACATACACAGCTTATTAATTACATTACAAGAAATAAATAAATAACAAAAAATATCATTCACATTACTATAGTAGTCAATATTTAGTTACATTTTGTCTCTATGGTCAAAAATAATATATACAATAGCTCTATTGAGGGTATCAGATATTCATATGAGGATATTATATTAATATATCAGATATTCAGATGACGGTATCCCTGCCACCTCCTCCCTCACTCTCTTACTCGTTGCCTTGCCCGGGAAAAATCAGTGGAGGAGAGGAAGAGGAGAGGGGAGGAAGAGGATAGAGAAGAATATAAAGTAAGCTCTCCAAAGCTTTTTATCCACTACTTTTGTTATAAAAAGTGTTCTGATAGTAGTACGTAACTATCCTCTTACTTTTATCTCTAATGATTTTAATTTCTATAGATTTTATCTCTCCTAAACTATCAAAAACATATTATCTCTTAATTTTATAAGCTTTCACCATTAACTTTTGATATGTTAATAGCTTTGATCATTCTAAACGATTTGATATAATTTTATTGCATATTCACAAGTTAAATTTCACAGTCCTCAAACCCAATATCGCAACACTGCATACATAAAAAGAATTATTATAGAAATAGAAACTCAAATATCATAGTGACAATTTTCGGCACCGTTGTTCTCTCAACCTTAGTGTTGTAGTGCTCACAAGTACAGCACCGAAGTGCTCTAGTGTAATAACTCAAATTTATAAAAATAATTGAAAATAAAAATATGAATTTCTATTTGAATAGGAGTGCAGTGGCACTATCCTTTGAGTGAGTGTTGTAGCTTTAGGCCTAGAGCGCAACGTGCTAGAAAACATTGTTTGACATTAAATCCTCTGTTTGTATAGTAATTCTGGATTTAACATGTAAAGATGTGACACTGAGTGGTGTCTTTGCAGTGCTACTCACTAAAAAATGTTTTAATATAACATTTTTCCCCATCACCGTCCTTATTTCCCCAGTCAACACCGGCTTGCTGAGCAAGGGAGAGGAATAAGGAAAAAGAAAGGAAAATCTAGATTTTTGCTCTCCAATCTCTTTGTTGTTTTTACAAAAATTATTCAGATCGAGGCATGTGATTTTAATCTTATCTCTTTTTTCAAAAATTTTAATTTTAATCATTAAATTTTTCTCAAAATTAATTTTACTATATTTTTCCTGGCTTTATTGAACTTTTATCGCATAATATTTTGTATATTATTATAATGGTTATCTTGGATATTTTGACTGCAATATTATGAATTTTACAGGATAAAATAAAAAATTTTGAATTTTATTTTATTTATACGTTATAGAAATTAAATATTTTTATTTAAATATACTATTAATATAACCATTTAGAATGAAAAAGAGTATGTGATTGTGTAATAGTTGGTTGATATTACTGTAATACTAATATGTGTGAGGATAAGTAAAAGCTAGTTTTATTAATATTGGTTGGATGTTGAAAGACCTGAACATAAAGGTGGTTTGATGGACTTTCCTTTAAATATTATAGTTTGATGTTATCCTTTATCGATTCATATAATACTGATTAGGAGTTATTACTATGCCGACATGTAAAGAGTGACAACGCTATTTACTGAGCCAATGAGATACTGATACATATTACTGCTTACTAAAAAAATGCAACTAATTA